CTCCTAGAGAATTGTTGTAAGAATTAATTACGATCTTGGATGCAAAGAACTTAGCTCAGTGCAGAGCAAATTCTCCAACAATACCTAGGAGGGTAATAGAGAATTGTGAAATAATTGTTAGTAGTATTAAGCAAACACATATTTCCTGTGCCAAGTATGACGGAATTTAAATAGCTTTAGAAATAAATGTACATTAACTTTGTGACACAGTAGGAAAACCCGATCTCTCTTAAGGTGAAGAGACTGACAGCTCATTGATGGCACCAGCACGGGGGCGGGGGGGGGGGGGGTGTGGGCACAGGAATTGCAGAAATAATCTCACATGTAATATACAAACATGCCCATTTCAACTCCAGGTGAAACTCCATGCAAGTTCATTTTTAGTTTTCTCTAAGTTTGGGTCTCTGCTATCTGTTTTATGAGAAGAGATGGACCATAAGGCAGAAAATATCACTTAAGGCACTTCAAGGGTTTAAATAGCAGGGGCTGAACCAAGTTTGGTGTCAAATCATCAAAACTAAGTCTCTGCAGGTAGAAAACAAGTCCTCCTGATTAAATAAGAAGCTGCCAAACTAACCAGGGCCCAGCACTGGACTGATGGGGGTCCTGCCAGGGTCAAATCTGTCTACACTGCAGGAAAGCATGTCATCATTTCAAGATGAACAGAGACTCCTTTAAGCTGCTCTGGCTGCATCTCCTTAGCCATGTTGTGCTTAATGCAGCCCTGAGGGCTTTGGGTTATTCTAAAACTAATAACCAAAGTAATTTCTTCATTTGCCTGCAAAATGAGTAGACAAAGCTTAGAGCAATGCTTCCTAGACCAGGTCCTGGGACACATTGTTATTCAAAATGTTGTCCCTGGCCCAGCAGTATGCTCAAACTTTAATACGCATAAAAATATAAGGATTTCATGAAAAAGAAAAAAAAAGCAAATCTGAGTCAGAAGGTCTGGTGTGGAGCCTAAAGTCCTACATTTCTAACAGTCAGTCAGTCAGTGCTGCAAGTCGACTCTAGAATTTTGCTTCTCCGTGATATGCTATAGCATAGACCTCACTTGGAAGCTTGTAGGAAATACAGATCCTCTATACCAGTGGTCGGCAAACTCATTAGCCAACAGAGTCAAATATCAACAGTACAACCATTGAAATTTCTTTTGAGAACCAAATTTTTAAAACTTAAACTGTATAGGTAGGTACATTGTTATTAACTTAATTAGGGTACTCCTAAGGCTTAGGAAGAACCACACTCAAGGGGCCAAAGAGTCGCATGTGGCTCCCGAGCCCCGCAGTTTGCCGACCACAGCTCTATACCCTCCCCAGATGTCCTGAATCAGCATTTACATTTCAACAAGACCCCGGTGATTTGTTTGCGCATGAAAGTTTGGAAAGAGCTGCCCTGGAACGTATGCATGTAAACCAATTTTCCCAAGGTTTTGGCTACTGCTGGCACTCAAAAGTCTAGAAATAAGCAGTGCTCTGCCCATATCCCCTCTGATTCCTTTGCCATTCTCTCACACAACACCTCGGTGGACTTTCACTCCCAACAACTAGTACCCGTGTCTCTGTTGGCAGTTCCCTCTGGATGCTGGAACCCCTTTTTTGCCTGCTCTCAAGGAAATCAGGAAGTACCTGGGGATTTCCATCCCCTCCAGCAGCCTTAACCAAGAATAACAGGCACAGGTTTCACCATACTCCAGGTCCCTAGCCCCTGATCAGAAAACTCACCTTTGAGGTGTGGTCTACCCAGGAAAGAATTAGGCCAAACTTACCATCTGCCTGAATTTGCTTGGTATCTCACCATTCTGCCTTCTTCCCATCCCAGCCCTGCTCATATTCCCATAATGTTGCAGGGAACACTTTGTAATAAACCCATTCCTCATAAATCCTTGTCTCAGGGTCTGCTACTCGGGAATCCAAAGTAGGACACATACCGTTTAGCCCAGTGACCATCACCAAGCCAAGAGTTGGATTATTTCTAAAGTTCTCTTGGTCATTGCTTCCCCCCCCCACCCCCCAATCTTTGACTCAGCCTAGATGAGATCTCTTGTGTATCTCAAAAGATTGCAGGAGGCCAATGGATTGTAGGGATTCCACACTTGGAAATTTAGATGGTCACCTTCTGAGAATGCGATGAAATAAATTATGCTTTACTGTCGTAATGAGCTAACAGTGGCTGTGCAGTGAAGGTGGTGATGAAGCTCTCCTAAAGCTGGCTTCATAAAGGATCCATAAAAAGAGCAAAGGATCCAGAAGACCTGCACTGGCCAATGTGGCAGCCACAGCCACCAGCCACCTGTGTGGCTATTGAGCACTTGAAAGATTGCCAATGCAATTGAGGTGAGCAATAAGTGCAAAATGCATACCTCATTTCAAAGACTGAGCACATTAAAAAATGTAAAGTATGTCAGTAATTTTATGTTGATTACATGATTAATAATATTCTAAAAATATTGGGTTAAATAAAATGTGTTATTAAAATTAGTCTCCCTGGTTTTGTTGGGGTTTTTTGTTTGTTTTGTTTTGCTTTTTTTTTTTTTGCTTTTTTAAATGTGGCTACTAGAAAGTTAAATGTTGTTCACATTATGGGGTGAAGCAAAAGTGGGTATACAGTTATTCTAATGGAAAATACAATAATAAATAAATAATAATACAAGAATAAACTCTGTGTTTAGTGTACTCACAAGTGTAAACCTTCTTTTGCCCCACCCTGTACCTCTATTGGACCTGATATAATACAGGCCTTAGTTTCCAACCAGAAGATCAGAACCAGTCAAATTTCCCCCACTCTTTATAATGCCTTCACTGTACCTATTTCTGGTGTGGGATTGGCCCCAGTAAGCATACAAAGTAGTACATTGCCATCAATTATAAATACTTTTACCAATGTATAAAGTTGCCAGGGAGCTGGAAATACCTAAAATTTGATCCTTAGCCCAGAAAATATTAAACCAGAACCATATTTTAAAAATCAGTGCCAGTCGTTATTACTCTTAGTTTCAGATTTGCTTTGAAGAAGCTTTATTTTGAAGCTTTTAAAAAGTTATTTCTATTGTTTTCTGTGAATACATCAAGCTTGGTGGTCAGTTATTTGGCTTCACTCACAGTTGTTCTCTTCTGTTTTTCCCAAGTCCTCCACCTACAGTATGGAGTTCAAAGTGGCTGTGCTTCTCACCTGGACTATTACAACTTCCTAAATGAGTTCCCCCTGTTTGGTTTCTCAGCCTCAAATCCATCTTTGACAAGGCTGCCAGATAATCTCACCAGCACACAGTCTAGGCCAGTGATGGCGAACCTATAACATGTGTGTCAGAGGTGACACATGAACTCATTTTTTTGGTTGATTTTTCTTTGTTAAATGGCATTGAAATATATAAAATAAATATCAAAAATATAAGTCTTTGTTTTACTATGGTTGCAAATATCCAAAAATTTCTATATGTGACACGGCACCAGAGTTAAGTTAGGGTTTTTCAAAATGCTGACACGCTGAGCTCAAAAGGTTCGCCATCACTGGTCTAGGCCATAGTCCCCTCACTTCACACCCTAAAACACACACACACACACACACACACACACACACACACCAAAAAAAGCCTTTGGTGACATTACATTCTTTTGCTAAATTAACTTCAGATACCAGAGTAGACATTAAATGTTGTTTGTACTCTGGCCTCAATTTTACTTTTTTGTTGTTGCAACTCCCCCTTTCTTTTCAAATTTATATTAGCCTATTCCCCATTCCCTCTAAATACTGTCCTGTTTGCTTGCCTCTGTTCTCCCCACCCCCCAATTGTCTCTGCTTACAATGCCCTGTTCCTATTCCATCACTCTCTGCCCCCATTCCTAAAGTTCCCCTCAAATGTTACTTTATTACATGACTAGAAGCCCGGTGCATGACATTTGTGCAGTGGTGGGGGAGGGTCCCTCAGCCCAGCCTGCGCCCTCTAGCAGTCCAGGAGCCCTCAGGGGATGTCCAACTGCTAAGGAGGTGGGAAAGGCTCTGCCACTGCTGCTGCACTCATCAGCTGTGAGCCTGGCTTCTGGCTGAGCAGTGTTCCTGCTGTGGGAGGGCACTGACCACCAGCTCCTGTGTTGAATGTCTGCCCCCTGTTGGTCAGTGTGTGTCATAGTGACTAATCGTTCTGCCGTTCGGTCGATTTACATATTAGCCTTTTATTATATAGGATGGCATATTATCAGTGTCTTAAGTCAGGAGACAAAAAACAAAAGACCAAGAAACAACAGTAGAAATAACAAACTTAGGTACAAAGACCATTGAACTAAAAAACATGATTTCATTGAAGAGAAAGCCACGCCAACAATAACATTGGGTAATTAGGCTACTTAGAGTGTATGTCACCTCTTAGAGACATTTCTTTTTTGGACTAGAATGTTAATTGTGTGTTCAAAATTATCATCCAGAATAGAACTTCAACTTTATTTGCAAGTTTGCTCTTTTTCATTTTCATGAAAACCAAGTGAGATCACCAGAGAATGGTGTGAGGTAGGCATTAAGATTAGGAAGAAGTGAAGGACTGACAGAGTTGGGGGCAGGAGAGTACTGGATACTGTATGACATTGCAGCTGAAACTAGTTTAAAGAACTTCTAGAACCGTAATTAGTATTTAAATATCCCTGGGAAGCTGCTTTGGCTTGAATTGTAAAGTGGGAAGACTACATTTATAGGTGTGTTGAAAATATATTTGTCTATATTTTAAACTTTTCTATAACTCTTTATCTGTTGATGTAAGGAAACTAGGAAAAAGTATTATTATTAAATAGCAACATACCAGATTCCTATTAGTAGAGTTTTTAAAAGCAGTAAAAATTTTGTTTACGTGTAAAGAACATTTTTTTCGGTTTTGAATTAAAAAAAGAAAAAAGAAAAAAGCCCCTTAGGCATACAAATTGAATGATTTGTCTTCCTGGTAGCCTAGTTAAACATGTGTCTAATGACTGTACAGTATTTAAGCTAATGCAAGTGTGATTTACATTTTCCAGGAATGGACAAATGAGGTTTTCAATTTGGCAACAAACCTGCTGGCCCAAAACATGTCCAGGGACGCATTTCTGGAAAAAGCGTAAGTAACTCTAATTTTGTTGCCAAGGGTGTTGTTTCTTCTGAGTCAGTTTCCTTTCTCCTTTGCGAGTCTTTTGTTATGCTGCACTGGCTCCTCACATTGATAAACATAAATTTCCCTTTGGGATTTGTTAGAGAACTGATTCCTCCTCCGTTTGAAATTGGAAGACTTCCAAGAAAGATCGCCCTTTTCTTTGAACTGCACATCCCTGAGCGCCCCTGAATGTCAATGCCTTTGACACACAATAAGGAGACACTTCCAAATCCTGGCATCTGTGCTCAGAACCAAATATTATTAATTTCAGATCGTCATCTGCTTCTGCATCTGCCTGTGTCATATCAATTATTAATCTGAGGAAGAGAATGAACAACATATGGTACTCATTTCTCCAGATTATTAGCTCTGATAGATGCTACAATAACTTCTCTCACAACTTAAATCAATAGGCTGATGCCCTGATCCCTGCCCTTGCAGACAATCACAGCAAGTGTTAGTAAGAAAAGAGAAAGAGAAGGGAAAGAGTAGAATTAAAAGGAGAAGGAAAGAAAAGCAAATCAGGATTATCCAGTCATTCTTGTATTACAGTATTATTTGACCAGGGAAAACAACGATTTCTGCCAGACACGCAGCAATGAATTGGTGTGTTCACTTCATAAGCTGTGGATGTTCAAGAGATTGGGAGCCTTGAACATCAAAACCACAAGTGGAAATATTTCCATGTGGCCCTCTATTTTATTTAACAACTTTCTTGCTTCCCTCTTCTTCTGTAAGGCATACCCATCATTTCAGACCTAAGCTTCAGACCACATTTCTCTCCGACTTTTCTATGAATTTCTTTTAGTTTGAGTCAGTAGCCACAGGTCTTCACTTAAATCAGTGGTTCTCAACCTTCCTAATGCCGTGACCCTTTAATACAGTTCCTCATGTTGTGGTGACCCCCAATTTCACTGTTACAAATTTAACATAATTAAAGCATAGTGATTAATCACAAAAACAATATGTAATTATATATGTGTTTTCCGATGGTCTTATGCGACCCCTGTGAAAGGGTCATTCGACCCCCAAAGGGGTCGCAGCCCACAGGTTGAGAACCGATGACTTAAATGCTTTCTCATCATCTCATCATCTCATCTCCTTAGTTGTCACCTTGAGCTTGACCCTTCATACACCTCCTCCACTACCCCTTTCTTTTTACCTTTTCTTTTTACCATCTAATGGACATTTATCTAATAGACATTTTTTTAACATCTTTTGTGGCAGGCAGTGTTAGTGGGCCATGACACAGAGATAAATGTTTTATCTGAAACACAGCATGTCATAGCTGGTAAAAACATCTATTTAGCTAATCATTTATTATCTATTGCAAATGTCTGTTCTGGATAGATGTCTCCCTATGAATAGCTGCTATGGACATTATAGACCATGTCTTTTGATGAACATGTTATGAGCATTTCTGTTGCATGTACTATTCAATATGAGACTGCTGGATCATACCGTGTGTAGTTTCTTAAAGTAGTGGTCCCAAATTCTGTTGCTTCATCTCTGTAGCCACATGTCCAGAAGCAGTTGAAGAGATAAATACAGGTGCTATATTCACACAATGAAATACTATACAGCAATGAGAATGAATGCTTTCCAACTATAAGCAAAAGCATGGATGGATCTTAAAAACAGCATTGAGAGAAAGAAGCCAGACATAAAATAATGTGATTCCATTTACATACAGTATAAAAACAGGCAAAAATTGTCTATGTTGGTTAAAATCAGGATTACGGTTCCCTTTTGGGGAATAGATTCTGGAAGGGGGTGTGAGAGGGGCTGCTGGGATGCTACAGTGTGATAATATTCTATTTCTTGATCTGGGCACCAACTGCAGAGACGTGGACAGCTTGTGAAATTTCAGTGAACTGTGCATATGCATGAGCCCTTTTCCAATGTAAATTATTTGCTTTTTAAAAATTAAACACTTGTTTTTCTGCTTCCCCAACAGCTATACTAAACTTAAGCTGCAAGTCACTCCAGAAGGGCGCATTCCTCTCAAAAAGTAAGCTGCGTGAGCATTTCTCATTCTTCGTTTTGTTTTTCCCAAAGATTTGAGTCCATGCCATGACTCTGTTTTGTTTCTCCTCTGGCCCAAGTGGGAGCATGGGAATGCATGGTCACCCATCCTCCCTCACATGCCTGTTCACATCAGTGCAGCTGTTTTCCTCAGAGGGTCACAGGGCTTCTTCCCCTTTCTGTGGCCTCATTTTCAAGAAACACCAAAGCAAGAAAGGGTGGAGGGGGCAGGGGGAATCTTGCTGATAATCCAAAAGATTATCTGAGATTAAGAATGAAGAACTATTCTAGGATGGTCATTGGGTGACCATGGTGTCTTTTTATACCACAATGACACTAACCTGAAAGCAGGGGTTTCAAGCTCAAATGTCAACAGAACCAGGTGGGAAAAGAAAAGATGAAGGAGGCCAGGATCAGGAAGAAAAACTGAAGAGTGAAATCCCCCATCTAAACAGGACAATGACAACTCAACCCCATCATATTCCTGTGGAACTAGTGGACCCCAGGCACTAGATTTTCTAATGTTGCAGTAGAATCGTTAAATCTAAATTATTATCTCTATATATAAAAGCCTAAGCGACCGTTCAACTGTCCGACCAGTAGCTATGACTTACAATGAGCACCAGAGGGCAGGCACTCTGATTGGTAGCTATGACACTCAATGACCACCAGGGGGCAGACACTCAACACAAGAGCTGCCGAGCTGCAGTGACTTGGCAGCTGCGGTTCTTGGGTGATGCACCCGGAACCGGAGAGGAGGGAGACTGATTCCAGGATGCATCACCCAAGAACTTTCCTCTCACAATCCAGGACCCCTTGGGGGATGTCAGAAAGCCAGTTTTGGCCCAATCTCTGCAGGCTAGGCCAAGGGACCCCCCACCAGTATTAAATATAGTATTAAATAGCAGTACTTAAGTTATATTATAAAAGCCAAATTACTGACAAAAGAAAGCACATCTTTAGACCATATTTAGCCAAACGTCTTTAACCATTGGCTTACTAGGTACTAGTGAGCTTCTGTTAATGTAAAAGTTAAATCATTAATTATTTTTAATAACTAGAGGCCCGGTGCATGAATTGGTGCACCGGTGGGGTTCCTCAACCTGGCCTGTGGGGATCCGGCAGAAACCAGCTCTCCGACATCTGGTTTCGGATACGTCACCCAAGAACCACAGCTGCCAAGTCATCGCAGCTCAGCAACTCCTGTGTTGAGCCCCTGCCCCCTGGTGGTCAGTGCGTGTCATAGTGACCGGTCTTTCTGCTGTTTGGGCTCCTAGTATAAGATCACAAGAGGCCGGTGTATGGATTCGTGCACCGGTGGGGCCCCTCAGCCTGGCCTGGGGGGATCCGGCCAAAACCGGCTCTTCAACATCTCCTGAGGGGTCCCAGATTGCAAAAGGGAGGTTCTTGGGTGACCACCACAGAATCACCCTCCCTCCTCTCTGGTTCTGGGTGCGTCACCCAAGAACCACAGCTGCCAAGTCATCACAGCTCAGCAACTCCTGCGTTGAGCCCCTGCCCCCTGGTGGTCAGTGTGCATCACAAGTACTGGTCGGAGTGTCTGACCCCTGGTGGTCATTGCGCATCATAGCTACCGGCCAGTTGGCCGGTCTCTTAGGCTTTTATATATATAGACTAGAGGCCTGATGCAAGAAATTTGTGCAAAGGGCTCGGCCCCCGCCACCACCACGGCAGCCGGGAGCCTCTGCCTGGGCCCCCGCTGCCGCAGCTTTGTTCAGAAGGTCGTCTGGACGGACATCTGGTCTAATTAGCATATTACGCTTTTATTATTATAGATATTAACAATGTACACCTTTAGAGCAAGGGGTAGCAGCAGGGAGACAAGGTTAGCAAGGATATTTATTTTAGTGCTTAATATTAGAGACTACTTAGTGCAATGCCTTTTAATTGAGTGATCACCATTGTCTCAAAATATTGATTTTATATGAGGCACTTTGATTAAAAAAGCATGTGCATCAATCTTTCAGAACACATGTGCATATGCATGGTATGATGGGAAGTTTTTAATGCTTTAAAGCTGAATGCCAAAGAGGTTGATTCAGTGGAATGTTTTCATTTGGCATCACCTACAAATGCTGGGATCCATCTGCCTTTCAAACACCTCTCACTTGTTGTGCTTTCACTTGCAGCATATACCGCTTGTTTTCAGCAGACCGGAAACGAGTTGAAACTGCTTTAGAGGCTTGTAGTCTTCCATCATCAAGGGTGAGCATGTTGCCTATCTAAAATTAGCACTACTAAATAGCTTTGAGCAATCATACTAAAGTGTAGGTCGCCCCAAATGCTACCCAAACATCAAATCATAGGAGCTCTGTCTGTGTTGCTCAATGGTTAGAGAGTTAGCCCACCCACCAAAGGGTCATGGGTTTGATTTCCAGTCAATGGCTTGTACCTGGGTTGCAGATTCAATTCGATCTCTAGCCTGGTTAGGGCAGGTGTAGGAGTCAACCAATTCACATCAATGTTTCTCTCTCTCTCTCCCTCACTCGACCCCTCCTTCCCTTCCACTGTCTCCAAAAAATCAATGGAAAAATTATTCTCTGGTGAGAATTAACAAAAAAAACAAAAAACCATAGGACTTATTTGTTAATATTTACAATATGTGAGGTCACTGTAATTGTATTTTCTTTCACTCCCCTTATTCCAACATTTTAATCTAGAAAGACCTTTGTTCTTTATCAATAAAATATAAAAACTATCTGATATAAAAATGTATTGGCCAAAAATATTAACACTATGAAGAATTTAAACTTCTCAATAATAAATATTTTCTTGGTGTCCCTTGAGATATCAGCTAATCATTATAGATTATGCTTAGGAAGGTATTTGAAATATGAATGTAATCTTAACTCACTCTTAAAATTTCTAGTTTTAAGAGTTATAAGTTACTAAGCAATTAGTATAGCAGTACATGTTTATAAAGAAATATACTTACATGCTCTGCAGGGCTGTGCTCAAAGTTTTTGCTGAGAGGGAAGCAGTTTGGAGACGTTTGGAGATTGCTACTTTGCTCAGATGGTGGAAAGGTAGATGAGAAGACAAGGTTGTAATATGCTCTTTTTCATGCCAAACATATTCAAGGCACTCAATATGTGTTAATCACTGAAACTCAATGAATTTGCCTTCATTTCAATACATTTCTACATGCCTGGCTCTAAAATGATTTTTTACCATTGTTTCTGAGAGAAATGGGTCTATTGCAGAACGCCTTTTTCTCTGCTCTATGCAGAACTTTCCTTTCTGTTGCAAAGTATTTTTATCCTGGTATCTAGGCAACAAGTAAGCACTTTCCCAAGGACACTCCTTATGCTGTAGGGAGGATCTTTGAGCCTCTAAAACCCACTGGCAATGCTCAAGTTGCAGAGAACGAAGTTGAGCCTATGGTTAAAGGTGAAAAAAGTATGAGTGCCATTATTAGATTCACCGGTCAGTTCTTGTTGGGAATACTTTTCAGAAAAAAAATTAAGTTTAACAACGACTTTGGTAGGTAGAAGAAAACAAGGAAAAACAAGAGTGCCATTCCACCACCAGTTTCCTGCTACAGGTGGAAACAGATGCTGATGCTCCAACACTAGGGCAGAGCAGTGGGGAAGCTCCCAAACATTTTAACCTTCACTTTAATAAGCAAAATGAAATGATCAAACTTGCTTATTAGTGCTCTCCCAGTAGATGCTTTGGAGTAAGAAAGAAATAACTAAGGTCAATAATTAAATAAATATTTCTTGAATTCTTTCTGGGTGCCCTCAAGCCCTGAGAATATGGTAGTGAACACAATGAAGTCCCAGGGTTCCAGGATCAGATTCTGGGGATGCTGGTCAAACACCTCGACTGACATGTGTAATTTGTGGGGAATTCTAGGAACAAAAGGAGTGGAGGGCTGCCAGTGAGAATGAGAGAAGCTCATGCCAGAAAAATTAAACAATGTGTGCAAGGCCCTGAGGCCGGAAAGACTAGGCCCGAATGAGAACTGCATTTAAGCACAAAAAAGAAAGTGGGAGAGATTAATTTAGAAAGATGGGCATCAAGTGTTTTTCCTCTGTAATTGCTGCAGATTTTACCTTTACTGGATAACATTTGTGACATATAATGATCAAAAATTTAAGTTATTATTATTATTAATATCTAGCTAAGGAAAAGGAGTAAAAAATGAAACTGCATAGAAAGTCAAACCCATCAATCAATTCTCTGTAAATTGCAATTTTCTAAACAATTGGATTCTGAAAATTCAGTCAATAAATATAAATTGAGTTTTTACAATCCACTATGTCTATTATAGGTTCACGCTTTCAGACCAAAGTCAACTGGAGACATTTGAAAAGGAAAATGAGATTCAAATAACAGGAGTCATGTTTAAATTGAAAAACATATTTATCTTTAGTAAATTAAATGTTATGACAGTTTTCTGAAAACAAATTGGAGATTTTTTAAAAATATGATCAACCTCCATCATAAAGCTTTGAAAGATCATTATTCTTAGTAAAGTACACTTTACTTGGAAGAGTTGTAGAAATTGAATGCTTTAAAAGATTTAAAAAGCAGAGACAGTTTCAGAGCTTGGAAATAAATGCTTCTGCAAACTATGTTTGAAATCCTCATTGTAATTTCATATCTACAGAACAGTGTCTCTAGAAAATATCTACTAATTAGCAAAAAAGATTCGGGATATACTAACAAGAAGTGTTTTAAATACTACACAGAAGAAAAGTTATATAAATGGTAGATAATCCTGCATGTCTGGAGCCTCGTTTCATAGCCGGCGGTCATTCCAACTAGATTTAATTGTGTTCTGTAAATAGGCACATTACCAGAAACACAGTGGATATCCTGTTGAGATTTTTTAAACATTGTCTTTGTGCACATTGTTAGGGATAATTAATGCACTTGAACTTGTGTCCCAGCCAACGTGATCCATTGGAATAACACATTCCTTTAAAGGGTACTCCTTCAGAGATTACAGTCGCTTGTCCAAATTACCTTAATTGTTAAAAAGTAGTACTACAGCAAAAAAGAGAGACAAAGCAATTACTGTAGTTCTATTAATAATCCAAACACATTTTCCAGTGAAACCTTTGAAGACCTTTGCATATTCAGAAAATTACCACTTTACCCACAAACTTTCTGAGCACTGAAAATAGTTTACTTCAACCAAATTACCTTTGATTTAAGTCTTATTAACTTGAGAACAGCTCAGGGTCATTTGGAATGATATAGTAGTCTTGATACGGCATTGGCTTATGTGTTTGCATTTTAATGAAGAAGATAAGGAATAAATCTATGTGTTTCTTTTAAATAATAAAGCTTATTACAGTTATATTTTGGTCTTGGCATAGCGTTGGCACATGTATTTTCATTTAATAATGAAGATAAGGAGTAAATCCATGTGTTTATTTTAAATAACAAAGTTTACTATATTTAGGAACATATAGTATATGCAATACTGAGGGAGATAGTTTTTTCTGGATTAAAAGAACACCTTAAATTTTACTTAAGAATATTATGAATAAAAATTATTTTTATAGGATAACTGTTAGATTTGCCTTTTTCCTATGTCTTACATCCTAAATATAAATCAGAAATATAATCATTTTTGTAGCTGTGATTCTTAAAATAACTGATATAAAAAATTTAAGCCTCATTGAAGCCCTGGCTGGGTAGCTCAGTTGATTACAGTGTTATCTCGATAAACCAAGGTAAATGGAACATCAAGTCCATGTCTCTCTCTCTCTCTCTCTCTCTCTCTCTCTCTCTCTCTCTCTCCCTCTCTTCCTTTCTCTTCTTTCTCTCTGAAATTAACAAATGAAAAATTAACAAAAACCTTTGGAGATTGATTATGAGCAGATTACTTGTGAGTATTTCATGTACATTATGGCTAACTCAACTTTTGATTTATAGCTTTAGAAAAAACATATTGTGAATAAGTTAAAATACTGAATTTATTGAGAAATAATCCATTGTTTTGTTGAGATGAAATCTGTATGTGAACTCTTGAGTTATTAGAGTCTACTTCAATAAATTAACATATTTTCAAATAACATTTTCTGAATGTTAAATACCTATTTCTTACAAAATTACTCCCTTATACTCTTTCACTTTAGCTTTCAATAATACACATTTAAAATATATTTTTATTAATTTAAGAGAGGAAAGGAAGGTAGAGAGAGAGAGAGAGAGAGAGAGAGAGAGAGACATCAGTGATGAGAGAGAATCATTGATTGGCTGCCTCCTGCATGCTGCCTATTGGGGATTGATCCCTCAACCCAGGTATGTGCCATTGACTGGAATGGAACCCAGGACCCTTTAGTCTGCAGGCCGACGCTCTATCCACTGAGCCAAACCAGCTAGGACTCAATGATGCACATTTTAACAAAAAAATTTTTTTCTCTCACCCACTGACTCCAAAGGCTTGCTCAAGTTGGACAAAAGAAAAATGAGACAAGGAAAATCAGCTGTATTGAAATGTTTTTCTTTTTCTATGCTCTAACATCCAACTGGTGATGACAATAAATTGTGTTTATTCATATTATCTTAATTAATCTGTTTCCCTTTATAGGAAGTTCTGATTCACAGCTGGTAAATAAACAGTGGTTAGAGTTTTACTAAAGCATATTGTTCTATGGAGTTATGTGTCTGGAATCTTATATAAATGACTTTAGCTAAAACTGCTATTCAAAGGGAAACATATAGCACATAAGTCCTTGCTATCAACTTCTACCTTTCTCATACGTTACATTCATTCATTTAGTAAGTATTTAGTGTGCACCTGCAGTATGTTACACACTGGAGATAGAGCAGTTAACAAGCAAAATGCAGGTCCTAGCTTGTGCAGATCTGCAGGCTGGAAAGTAATAGAATTGTACAGCTGGGAGCAGAATCCTGTAAAATGAGTGTTGAAATATGAGACAAGCAAGGTGTGATGGTATCACAGAATGGAAGGCAAAACCCTGTCTGCGAGAAAGGAAAGGCTCCCAGAGGAAGAGATTTTAGCTAAGACAAGAAGGGAGGGAGAAAAGGGGTCAGGAAGGGAAAGAAAACAATTATTGATGTTCTTAGATAAAAATCCATATATGTGTGTGCTGGGTAAGGTTGGGGTGGGGCGAGGAGTGAACTCCAAATAGTAACTAAATAGTAGAGAGAATTGGAGGACACGCTTGGGGTTCACAGAGCTATTCAGTATTTCTTTACTACTATTGATATTTAAATATTTACCTTCCCTGTGTCTCTCAGCCAAAACGTAGAATAGAGAAGGTCATTTCCAGCTATTTACAAAGCTACTTAAGGAGATGTGGGTGCTTAAGTCACAGAAAGGGGGCAATGGAAAATGTACAACTTCTAAGCAAAGGGTTTCTTCCATCTTGTGAATAGAACGGGACTTTGGAAACCAGTTTACAGGTTATACTTGTCCCCATTTTATGAGTGGCAAAACACCAATAAAACAATCCATGGATACTTCCCATTGTTCTTGGATTTGGCCACTTGTGCTCATGATTTCAAAACTGGTGTCCAGGTATTTAAGTTTAATGGTGTAATGCATCTTGCTATGTATAATGTTTGTTTGTCTCAAAATTCTGTTTTTAAAAATTGATTTTTTGTGTTCTATAAATGGGTTTAGTAAAAAAAATATATTCTTTTATTTGTTCAGTCCACAAATATGGGAGTGAGCTAAGTGGTGAGCTAAGTTTTCTTACCTGTTAGCAAGGAGTGTACGATTTTAGACAATAATTTTTAGAAACTTTTATAAAAGTACATTTCAAAACCTATGAATATGGTAAAAGGAAGGGTGTTTTCTTTGGTTTAAGGGCTTGAAAATAAAAACACCCATATAAACACTTACCTGAAATAGGAAAACGGCATAAAGAATGTCCTTCCTGTTAACAAAGGCTTGAATACATGTTTCCGGTTTCCATGGCAGCCCGACTACACAGAAAAATAAGTCATAGAAGTGATTTTTTATGTCAGTGACTTGCTTCCCAAACAATAGGACCAGGAGGAGTCAGTGAGAAATAATGGTTCCTGTCTAATGAAAACACTAGAGGCCTGGTGCACAAAATTTGTGCAGGGTAGGGTCCCTAGGGCTGGCCTTCCCGCCTCCCCACCTCCCTGCCTCCTCCTTCCCTCACTCCCCCAGTGCCCCACCACCACCGCTGGTCACCCACCATGTTCTGCACCACCCCCTGGTGGTCAGTGCATGTCATAGGGAGCGATTGAACTCCCGATCTCCCGGTCAGACTCCCGAGCAAACAATTTGCATATTAGCTTTTTATATAGAGAGATTTTACAGTTTATCGGATTATTTAAACTGGAAAGAGCATTATTTGGGAAAAAAGACACAAAATCAGTTCTTTACATTTTTTTAACAAATGTGAATGTTCTTCATGTCACTGATCACTTAAAAATGGTTAAAATGGTAAATTTTTATGTTGCATAAATGTTATCACAATAAAAAAGATTAAAACCAAAACAAAAAGCAAACTTTAAAAATGTGCTAAAGAGACCCCCTTTTTTACTAAGTCTAACTTCACTTTAGAAATGTACTTAAGAAATTGCCTTAACATCTCTTTAGAAGAAAACTCTTACACTTAAATTATAATGAAAACACAAGAGAGAATAAGGTTTTTGATACCTCAAAGCCAGTGTTCAAATGGAGCCCACAGCTGGGCTCATGAATGTCTTCTGAATATTTACCCTGAATGCATGGAAGAAAAGAGGGAATGAAGGTTGGGAGGGAAAGGAATTGAGGAAAGCAGAAAGGGAGGAAGATAGGGAAAGAAAAAGACCATTCACTGACAGTGTTGTTTTATTTCCCAGAATGATTCAATACCTCAAGAAGATTTCACTCCAGAAGTGTACAGAGTTTTCCTGAACCATCTTTGCCCTCGACCTGAAATTGATAACATCTTTTCCGAATTGTAAGAACATCCATTTTAACCCACTATCTCCTGGCTTCCATTGTCCTTGGGCTGGCTAGGGCAGGAATTTGATCAATAGAGGGAGAGGAAGACCCTCTTGTGCACTATGTCTAATAGCAGTGCTTCTGTGTAGTTACTGGAGATAATCACGCATTCCTGCCCCTGAGGTGCAACCAGGGCTTTTAATGAGTGGAAGTTGCTATGATTTGTTGCTGGGTGTAGCTGTTTTAGTAACCTCAGGGGGCTCTGTGTGGTTTGAAGTTTATGGCTAGAACAGAGGCAGCTTAGCTGAGGCAGACTCATGTTGCAGAAAGAACTCTGAACTGGGAACTAGCCATCTTACCTCCCTGAGCTGCATTAGTGAAATGACAAGTGTGGATTACTAAGAACCCTCCCAGCTGAAAATTATATGTTGGAAATTATATAGGCATTAAGTTTTTAAATAAATGAAAAATAAGGAGAAAGAAACCAAAACACAAAGGCAAATGTGGGGAAGTAGCAGTTTACTCTTTTGATATGCTGAAATCTACATGATGACAGAAAATCAATCCAAAATTGATAAATACAATAAGGATTCCTTCATATGGAAGACAGACAAACAGTGCTGCCGAGAATGATGCTGAATATACTCTTGATAAATACAATAAGGATTCCTTCATATGGAAGACAAACAGTGCTGCCGAGAATGATGCTGAATATATTAACGTGCTGATGTTCATTGCCATCAACTATTTATTGAACATGTGCAATATTTGTACCATTGAACTTGACTTTTGGCTGTCAACAGGATTAAAATGTGAAGTTTGAATCACACTCTATAGAAGAGTTATAGACTCTGGTTGGAATGTAACTTTAATGAACAGAAAAATGTGTTTAAACATATTGTTTACTTTTTTATTACATCTTTGAATGATTAAGCGGGATATGGGGATTTGATGAACAAAATAGATCCAGAAACATAGAAGCATGGAACAGACTGTCAGCTCTCAGAGGGAAGACAGGGTGGATGGGTGGGTGGGTAGGAAGAGATTAAAAGAGATTAACTAAAGAATTTATGTGCATATAAGCATAACCCATGGACATAGGCAATAGTGTGGTGAAGGCCTGGGGCTTGGAGTAGGTGCAGACTAGAAGGGGTCTAAAATGGGGTAAAAAGGGAACATCTCTAGTACTTTCAGCAATAAAGATCCATTAAAAAAAAAGTTTAGTGTCATAATAAAAAAACAACCCATACCTCTGTGATCAGTTTAGAGTGGTTTATCTTTACAGACAAGATGCAATGTTTTCCTACTGTGGATTTTCTCATGCATTGGGTAGTATTCAAGGGCATTGGGACTTAGTGGCAGTGATTGGAAAACTTATTTGTAGCCCATGGAGGTGCAGCAGTTGTGGTGGAACAGCACGGTGTCTTTAGGGCAAGATAGGAATTTCAGAATAACATGCTCTTACCAGGAATGACAGGATTTGGTTTCTCTGTAGCTAAAGGCAAATATCTGAATGAGACTTGGTGGAAAATATTCTAATTTATGGTTTTTAATTGTCTATAGTGGTGCCAAAAGCAGACCATACCTTACTGTTGATCAGATGATGGATTTTATCAACATTAAGCAGCGAGATCCCAGGCTAAATGAAATACTTTACCCACCTTTAAAGCAAGAGCAAGTCCAAGTATTGATTGAGAAATATGAACCCAACACTAGCCTCGCCACAAAAGGTCAGTCCACTTTGTCCCTCACCATAGGGAAGCTCTGCTTTCTGCTTGTGAATGGGTCACCTGCTTTCCTTTCTGTCTTAAGTTACTGGTGGTTCAATCCAAAGTAGATTTTTTTACTTTGATATGTGATTTTTGTTGTAGTTATATATATGCATGTGACATTTTTTAGATGTCTAATCATTTGTTTTATTTTAAATTTACTCAGTGACTAAATGCTTCTTTCTCAGACAGAAAATTCACAGTCTTACAGGTTGCCCTTTAGGGTCTGTTTTTAGATGTTCTGAGAAGAGATCCACAGATTTTTCTAAATCTCTAAAACTGAAAAGATTGGACCCTTATCCTATTCTAGTTTACATTATTGACAAATTTGTCCATTTGGGAAAATATTATAAAATTTTGATTTCTTTATGTAAAAAAAATTAGTATTTATAGGAAAAAAATCAGTCTAAAAACTGATATCAGGAAGAGAGATCTAAGTTGCCTGGAAATTATTAAGAAATTTATGTTTTTGATTTGGGAGAAATGAATTGCCAAAATGATGATTTAATTGCCAAGAATTTTCAATTATTTGTAGCATCATTGTCCCTGAAAAGGATTTCCAGCTATTTCTTTACCACTAAGCCCAAGCCTCATCTGGATTGAGATATCTTCACTGAGAGAATGGGTGTGTCATCACTGATGCTATTGCAAATGCCTAGATATTCCATGGGGAGGGAAAAAGAAGTACAATTAACCAATTAATAAGAAAAAATAAATTGCATGTTAATATGCAGGTAATTTATAAGTAACAAACAGCTCTAGCAAGCTGAATAGTCATTACTAAGAATGGTTATCATAAAAGTAGATTTAAAAGTTTTTCGACCCATTGTATTTATTCTGAAACTGGTCCTCTAAATGAAAAATGAAAGTATTTATTAAGTATTAATTAAAATCTTATAATTAATTTTATACTTCATGCTATTAGTTAGGAATTTATAGATGACATTGTTTAGTATTTATTTTCTTGGTCAAGCACTTTACCTTTGCTGTTGTCATCATTCTTATTGTTGCCAAGGTCAGTTGAAGGGAACAACTGAGGCAACGGTATATGCTGGCATTGCCAGGCCTGCCCCTCTGATCTTACTTCCATATGATGCTCTTTCTTCCCTGGTGTCACAAGCACAGCATTTCTCCTTATCATTTAACAGAGTGCAAGTCCTTGGAGATTTCTCCCAAATAATTTGACAGTTCCTTTCTGAAATCCAAACTTCACCAAAAAATAACTAGCAGTATTATATAGCAGATCGAACAAGACTTGTAAAAATACATTAGCTTAAAACGCTAGAAAAACAAAAAGCTTTTGTGAAACCAATGACACACTTCAGAACCTAAACTTTGCCCTTTTCCCCTCCCTTCACAGCACACTGCTGGCAGCCCATGTTTCAGGTGGCATCGGATCCCCATACATCAACTCTGATGCCTTGGAAAAGTAGAGGATACAAAGGGAAAAATTACAATAGGTTATTGAAAAATCTAGAATCCCGCAAGAACCAATTTTCATCTAAGGAAAGTTAAGATGATGTCTCTTAGCATTTGCAAGAGTATTTAGTGCCATCTTATAGTTGTACCAGGTATTAATTCTATAATCACAAACACACACAATTCAGGTACATTTAAAATAGCAGCACTATTTTTCTCAAGCTATGTGATTCATCATGGAGCTTCCATGTTCATTTTGGTGTGATTTTTTTAAATCACAGAATTTATTTCACAACCCAAAAACTCCAATAAGAAAATGAACTTGAGATATTTCACACCAGGTCATCTTGTTTGCTGCTTTGGCTCTGTTTATTTGAATAAAGAGGATTAGAGAAGATTTTTTATTCATAGTGAATAGGAGAACGATTTTTAAATCCCTCTTTGTAGGAATAAGACATTGTTAGGTTAAAGGTTAATTCTTTAGTAACTAAGAGTTTGAGATTTTTTTCCCCAAAATGAAAATTTATTTTTAATTTAATTTTGCAATTTGACTTTAAGATATTTTCAGGAACCCTTTTTTGTGTGTGTCTTAAATCTAACAATGTATAATTTCAGGAAATATTATTTGACTTCAATGTGGTGAATGATGAGTAAGGACATTAGCTTTCTTTATTATGTAACTTTTTAATATGTACATTATTATTTTGCAAAGAAGCAAATCAAGGCTTTGACATCAAAAGATTTACCTAAGGTATAAAACCAAGATGTTCTTCAAGAATCATCTGATTAATACACTTTAATCAATAAACACATAAGTACTCTCTGATATCAAGAAACATATTTTAAAGTAGGTGTTAAAGAAATAATACACAAAGTTGACTTGTGCTAATATTTAGTTCTTATATGCATTTTATATAAAAGGTAGCATAAAATGAAATGAAAAATTTTCAGTGTGGCCAAAAGCCTAAATGCTAAAAATGAGCACTGGTTAGCTGACTACACCTGTACCACATGGAAGTGGGAAATGAGCCCAGAAGAGATAGTGGACTTTGATGCTTTGTGGACCTGTGGTCATTAGCATGTGTGCCACATTTCCATACTGGATCACTGTGGACCAAAAGATGGAATGTAATAATTGGACAGAGTTAGGCCACATGACTCTCCCTAGAGCTGACGAGGAATTAACTGCCTAAACCACAGGGACTACCACTGGGAAAGGAGTGGTTGGGTTCCCTGAAATGCAAATAGGGAACAGTTCCCTGAAATGCACTGGGCAGATAAAAACAGCAGAACCCACTACAACTGGGTCAGAAATCAACAATTCATCATTACTGTTTACCTAAACTTAAGAAACCATTTAACCTATTTAATCAGTTCTACCCCCTAGTTTTTAAAAATTGTGTATATTAGTTTTTGCCCACTAAACCTTGGTTGACCTGAACTAATGAAAAGTGATAATTGGCATTTACACCAAATAATTTCAAACCATTAATTGGTCTAGAAGTGAGATTCAGAACATTGGTCCTAGACATTCTTACTCTTTATCACTTAATTTTCCAAGTAGATTTTTAAAAATCATTATTTTCTCAGCACCATTTCTCTTCATTAAGTAGAAATCATAAATAATAATGACTTTTCATTAATGTCTATTATGCATCCATAATTTTAAAAAATGCTGGCATAGTATGATGCTTAAGCCAGTTAATCTCAGGCAGGTGACTTGACCTGCTTGACATTCAGGTTCCTCCTCTATAAAGTGGGATGATAACAACACGAGCCGATCTGGGTGTTCTTCCCATATCTCTTGGCACTCGTTATTCCAACATGGTTAGCAGCAGCCTCTGCAATTCTCCAGGACCTTCTCTCAGCCCAGCACAGGCAACCTACATGTGTCCAGGACTCCATGGCCCCAGGAGTGGTTTTCATTCAGGAAGTAGTACCTCATGTTCCTTGCCTCTTGTGTGGGACATTTTCTATTCATTTTCTCCACTTTCTCCTGGAATTCCTCAGTGCAATTTAGCCTTAGTTGCCCACAACTGTATCCTGATTGATCATGTTCCTTTCATTAGCTCTTTCCTTCCCTTTCCATTTCTCCACTCCCCTACAGTTATTTTTTTAGAGTAACCTCTGAAATAAAGTATGTTTACTCAAATTTTTGTCTCAAAACCTACTTTTACAAGAAACCAAACAAAGACAAGCACTTTTATAAATGGCCCTCACAAAATCAAAAGTGAAAGATGGGTCAGGTCCCCGAAGCTGAGCATTGAGAGAACAAATGTAAAGAATAAATGCCCACAGCTCATCCCTTCTGACCTATCACGTAACTGCCTTGTTGGCACTGTGCATCCCTGGCTGGTGGCCTCAAATCATGGGATCTCCAGTCCATAAGGGTCTTAGCTATTTAGCCCAAACTCAGGTCACAGAAGAGGTCGCATTTTTCGTGTCCCAGGGTACAGTCCTCCCCACTACTCCAGACTTCTGCTTGGACCCCTCCACCAGGACTTGCTGAGAAAAGAGATGCAAGGCCAGATATTTAGAAGATAGCAGTTGGCATCCATAGCAGTGGTTTTTAGTCTTGTCCTTGACATAGCATCCTTGTATTTGTGTTTGTTTCTTCCAACAAAGTCTCACAAGAAAGGCCAATGTGTAGGAAAAATCTTTAGGAACACTCTATTAGTTTAACACAGGGAGCCTGGAGTGTAGCTGCTGATGGCTGCCCTATTCCTGTCTCCTCTCCTGCCCCGCCCCATTCTCTGCAGGAACTTCTGCTACAACCCCCAGGATTCAGGATGCACAGTTTAAAAACCATTCAACTAGAGGAAATATTGACTGGTTCAAACGTCTGCCTCACAATTAAGGTGGCATCCATTTAAATAGTTTTAAATAGATTCCCTGCAAAAAATAAAAGAACTAAAATGAATGAACAAAATAAACTTAAATGCAATAGATTTTCTTCCTAATAGACAAAGACAGATGAAAACTGTATGAGGTAGGCAATTCTCTCTGTGCATTAATTGAGTTACTACACTAAGAAAGCTGCTGAAAAGTCACTCGAGTATTATATTGATTAAGATCCCATTTAAAATCTACCTATTGACTTTGTAGTTTCTGTGGAAGGTCACAGAAGAATGACATTATCACCTATGACTATATTTCAAGCTACTCTTAACTCTGTGTTTCATATGTTCGGAGATTTTTCTGAAGTATGAGAGATCAGCCAAAATGAAAAAAAAAAACATTTTTTTTCAAGATAGCTATTATGAATCCACTGATCATTAGCTGACTTGGTAACTCCCTTCACTTTCCCTCCTTGATTGCATTTCCTCCTTTCCCAAGAAGCAGGAATTGATCTGAGGTGATGCAAATGCCTGGCCCAGAAGTCTTGTTTACTTTATTCCTCTAGCCTTTTTCTTCAGTCATCTCAAAGTCATGACCATGTCCATTCACAGCCAAAATGGCCTCTTTCATTAAACAACCAACCAGGAAAAATATAAATTGTAAAAAATAAAGTCAAATGCCAGTCCCAAGAGGTAGGGAAGTGA